TACCCACAGAGGATTTGTGGACAGATCTGTTTTAATTCTTCTTCAGAGGTGCTTCGTCTAAAAATAAAAGCTTGACTGAGGCTGGAGAGATGGTTTAGTGATTAAGAGCACTTACTGCTCTCCCAGAGGACCTGGGGTGAGTTCCCAGCACCTACACGGCAGTTCATAACCATCTGCAACTGTCTGTAACTCCAGTTCCAGAGGATCCAAGTATCCAACTGTTAATTGTTTGTTTTTTTGTTTGTTTGTTTTTTGTTTTTTACTCTGTACTCTTTTTGGCTCTTTTGGGGGCCTACCACCCAAATCACATGGAGTTTTATTCTTTCTTATGAATGCCTGGCCTTAGCTTGGCTTGTTTCTATCCAGCTTTTCTTTTCTTTTTTTTTTGTTTTTGTTTTGAAACAGGGTTTCTCTGTGTAGCCTTGGCTGTCCTAGAACTCACTCTGTAGACCAGGCTGGCCTTGAACTCACAGAGATCCACCTGCCTCTGCCTCCCAAGTGCAGGGATTAAAGGTGTGCACCACTACCACCCAGCTAGCCAGCTTTTCTTAAATTATCCCATCTATCTTTTGTCTCTGGGCTTTTGTGTTTCTCTCTTCTGTATACTTTTCTTTACTTCTTACTCCATGGCTGGCCCCTTGCTTCCTCCTCTCCTCGTTCCTTGATCTTGGTCCTCCCAGATTTCTCCTCCTATTTATTCTCTCTGTCTGCCAGCCCCACCTATCCCTTCTCCTGCCTTGCTCTTTATTAGATCATGAAGTGTTTTAGACAGGCAAAGTAACACAGCTTCACAGAGTGAAACAAATGCAACATAAAAGAATGCAACACATCTTTGCATCATTAAACACATGTTCCACAGCATAAACAAATCTAACACATCAACTAATATTCTACAACATCTAACACTCTCTTCTGACCTCTTCAGGCAAAACCCCATATAAGTAAAATAAATTACAAATAATAGTAATTAAAAAATTGCACAGACTGGCAGCTAGCTGGTGCACACCTTTAATCCCTCACTCGGTAGCCAGAGCTCTGTGAGTTTGAGTTTGAGGCCAGTCTGGTTTGTTTGTTTGTTTATTTATTTATTTATTTATTTATTTATGTTTTTTT